CGTCCGGAACCAACCGGGTCTAGTTACCGGGTACCTCAGCCTTAAAGAAGCGCGAGCAATGATACCCGAGATCAATGGAGATTCGCGAGAACGCGTCCGAGAGTTCATAAACGCTAGCACGTATGCTATGAAAAATATACAGCCGACCGACGAGTCAATACTACTCGAAGCTATTCTTTTTACGAAATTTAAAGGGAAAACTATGACAGATTTTGACACGCGCGATATCCGCGATTTTGATCAATTAAAGCGCGAACTCGAGACAGAATATTTAGGAAAACGCTGCACGACGCACTTGCAGCTGGAATTTAATTCACTAGCGCAAAAGCCCGGCGAAAGCGCACAAGAATTCGGCAGGCGCGTCGAGAAATTAGCGCGCGAATTGTATGAAGCAATGGAAGAGGGTAAAGGCCACACGCAGGAACAGCAGAAGGCCATCCTTGAAAACATAAAAACTCAAGCGCTGCATAATTTTCAAATCGGATTGCACGATGATATAAAGCTATTAGTAAGAGCACAGCGATACCAAAGCTTGCAAGAAGCGATAACCGGCGCCAGCGCGGAGGAAAAGGTTAGAGGCCCCTCCCCGCGTAGCGCACAGGCAACGGCAAAAAATAAATACCCCGCCGCGAATACGCGAGGCGCGGGAAATACCGTAGGACAATGTCACAAGTGCGGAAAGAACGGTCATTACGCGCGAGATTGCCGTACAAACCATCAAGCAAACAGGTACGCGTTGCCGAAACCCGAGAAGCCTAGCGGCATTAACACGATAGAGTGTTCATATTGTAAAAAGGCAGGGCATAAGCGCGACGAATGCTGGTCATTAAACGGGCGACCAAAACCCGAGCGACCGCGCCGAACGAAAACGGAAGCAGTTAAGAAAACGCCCGTGAGTACCGTCAGAAAGACGAGGACGCAAGAATCTAGCGAAGAAACATCCTCTCGCAGTAGCAGCGAGGAGGATGAGAAGCCTAAAAGGAATAAGGCGCGCGCCGCCGAGACGTATCGTGTTGCACAGATAAGCAAGAAGCACGAGGAAGGCCCGCTAGACTTAGTGACGCTGCCCGTACAGGAGGCAGAGAAAGGAGAAATGGACCTGTTATTAGATTCAGGCGCAACACTCACGTTAATAAAAGTGGGAAATTTGAAAGCGAAAGCGATGGTGAAGGAAGAACGGTTAGCGCTAATCGGCGTGACCGGACACCAGATTCACACGATAGGGAAGATAAAAGCCACTGTGAATCTCGGAG